AACTACTTTGGTTGGCACAATAAAGAGGCAGGTACATTGAAATGAAGAAAATTTTTCTATAGATTTAAGATCTTATTTGATGTCATTTCTCTTGTTTTTGCATTGTAGAAGCTCATTTTATGCTAAGTAAATAGCTTCTAAAAGTTTTTTTATACTACTATTACAAGATGCGGGTTCTGACACAGAGAATCTCAATATATTTTTTTATTTTACATATTCCTGAAGATGAGAGATGCTAGAAATTTTTTACACTGATTGAATATTTATACATCACCCAATGGGAGCAGTCTGTTTATTAGTCCATGTACTGATTGTTTTGATGTTTGGGTATATAATCTTTTATATTGTCATGTATTCCATACATTAATCTTTGACAAAAATATATTTAGTAAAGAATTCTTTACCTGTAGGTTTCTTCTGATCAGGATACTTTTTAACTTTTTCTAATCTTATTTTTTCTATTTGTTTTCTTCTCTGAGCTATTGGAGCTCCTTTAAGAAAAATGTCATCCAGGCTTTAAGAGTTTCTTAGCTTACATCAAGATTTTAACACATCTTGAATTAGTTATTTTATAGCATGAACAAAGCAATTCTGTTTTATTTCTCTACATAAAGTCATCAAGCCTCCTATTTCTTCAAGAGGCTTTCTTTATGCTAATGATATTGTTCAAAATTTAGGTATCTATAACTTTATTTGTTACTTTGGGGTCCTTAGTCCTATTACCTTGATTTATATATCTGCTTTTAAGTCATCTTCATTCTGTTGCCTTTAGTAGTTTCTATTTGCTTGGCTCATTTACTTCTTTGTTATAGTATGGCTCTATATCGGTGACTTGAAATTAGGTGTTATGATATAGTCTGGGTTTTTAATTTCCTAGGATTGCTTTTTGTATTCATGATCTTGTGTGTTTCCATAAAAATTTTAAGATTGGTCATTTTCAATTTCTCTCATGAACATTATTGAAATTATGGTAGAGCTCACTGTTTTCTAGATTGCTCTTGGTAGTATCCTAGTTACTTCTTGTTGCTGTCATAAAACAATGACAAAGGGCAACTTGAATAGATAAAGGATTAATTTAATTTATTATTCTAAATCACATCATTATGGTAAGTCAGGGTAAGACCTCAAGCAGAAATGAAAGAAGAAATAAAGGAAAGCCAATCTTCATTGTCTCACTTGCCAGATTGCTCACGTACTTTTTTAACACAGTCCCTGTCCAGGGATAGTGCCACCTATAGTAGCCTGAACTCTCTTACATCAATTATCAATCAAGACAATGTCACACAATCATGCCCACAGGCCAATCTGATCTGATTGAGGCAATTCTTAATTGAGGTTACTTCATTTTTTCCCAGATGATTCTACATTGGAACATGTGACACTCAAAAGTAACATGACACTCTAATACCTGTAATCTTGACACACAAACATAACATAGTTAAATCATACCTTTTCTTTAATAGCCACAAGATCTCATGTTAATATAATAATATAAAATAATGTACAGAAATCTGTGGTCTTTTTTAAAATCCAAAGGCTCTTAACTGTGGGCTCCCATAAAAGTAAAACTAAGTTATATACTTAAATAATTTTTATCATCAAAGTAATGAGCTAGGGAATAAAATCAGTCAGATCAAAACAAAAGTAAAATCTAGCATTGGACATCATATGGTTGAGCTCAGTGTCTACCATCTTGAACTTTCTCATGATCATTTGGGTTCTAAATACCTAGCCAGCCCCACTTCTCCAGTTCTTCAATGTAAGTTTACATATCTTGTGTTGTAGATTCTGGTCAGCCCAACTTCACACCTGCTACTGTCTGTGGAATGTCCAGTAACTGAAATGTTACCTTCACTAGTAACCTACTACCCTCTCTCTTCTTGGATTCCAGTCTTTCCACAATATAAAGCCACAAGCCTAAGTTACCCTCGATGACACACCTCTGTTACTGTATTTCTCGTTTCTTCAAAGGCAGTGCCACATTGTAGAATATTAAGCATTATTTTCTAAGTTCTGCTACCAAGTTGATGTGGAGCTTTGGCCCACCTCATACCACAACTTCAATGTGCTGACTCTGAGGAAATTCCCTCACTACCCTATTGAAATACAGATGTTTATGCTAATTTCTTTTTTATTGGCTATTTTATTTATTTACATTTCAAATGTTATCCCCCTTTCCAGTTTCCCCTCCAGAACCCCCTATCCTATCCCTCCTCCCCCTGCTTCTATGATGGTGCTCCCCCATCCACCCACCCACTCCTGCCTCCCCACCCTGACATTCCCTTACACTGGGGCATTGAGCCTTCACAGGACCAAGGGCCTCTCCTCCCATTGATGCCTGATAAGGCCATCGTCTGCTACATATGTGGCTGGAGCCATGGGTCACTCCATGATTTCCTGTTAATTACATCTGACTCTGCTGACTAGCACCCATTGTTCCAGTAAAGTACAGAAGTTTTTACTTCCATATATTCCCAATCTAAAGTACCATACAAATGATCCCAGTTATCTTGGATTCCCTCCGTAAAGTCGCAAGCCAAGCGTCCATAGCCTGCTTTTCTCTAAGCATTTTTGTCTTTCAAGCTCCCAAAACAGCTCATTAAGTTTTGAGTATGCAATGTATAAAACATTGATTACATAGACGAACTTTCTGAATTAACTATCAGCTTTAGAAGGAGTGTTTGTTATAATGATAAGAATGTTGGAGTAAATCAAAGCTATATATAATGCTGGGAGTAAATATTTTGTTTGGTTTTATTGTTCCCACTAAATAATTCAGGACAAAATGTCTTCATAGACTAAAATATATTTACAAAATGTGCCAATTTCTTAGATGATATGCAGGTAATCAGAAAATAGTAATCACTACAATAACTTATATTACTCTGTCTTCAAGACACAAATACCTTTATTTTGTAGGAAACATGTGTGATGAATTATTGTATCATTTTTCTAAACAAAAGAATGCAGCAACATTAGCGATCTGACCAAAAATAAAGATTAGCATAAAGAAATTAATTGCATTTAAATAATATAGTTTGCATTCATTTTATTCTGTACAAACACAGATAAGTATAGAAATATGGCAAATTAACTTAGTATTAATGATGAACATTAAAACTTGATTAGCTGAATATAATGCCAATAGAAGATCATTCATAGTAACAAAATATTTCATGTAAGTAGTTTGGCTATTAGCATCCAAATTAATTACCCCAGAATAAATGCTAGTATTAAATATTTCATTGTGGTATTTTAGATTATTAAACACCTTTAAGAGAATACTTTCACTTCATTTTCATAATTTACTGTGATCAACTGTGAGAAATGCATTGATTTTTTTATGTCAGTGGATAATTGAAGCAAGTTAGCCTCTAATCTAAAAGTTAGTTTTCCCTCTCAACTACCTTTTTCTTAGCCCATTCTCAGGCTAAAATCAATCTTTAAAAATATGATTGAGGAGGGAACATGAAATGTTAAATTCACTCTGAAAATGTTATCAGCTTGTCCTCAGAGATCCTGCATTAGAAAGAATTTTAGGCATTCTAATTTATTTGTTTCTATTAGTAATTGAAAAATAGAGGCAATTCTTCTTACACCTATAAAGTTAATCTTTTATATCTGCTTAATCTACTTCTGCAGTTATCAAATCATAAAGTAGAGCATCAGATGATGTCACCTTATGTTTGTAAACTGCACAATGTCTCCTTATATTCTAGTACTACTCACAAGTTTGTGAGGAGACACAGATAAGCTTTACATATTCTGAATTTCTGGCTGACAAAGATGACAAATGTTCACAGGATTTGAATATTAAGTAAGGACCTGAGTGTAGCACAGATGCATGCTTGACAAATAAATTCGATTGACACCGAATCCTTACTTTATCAGGCTGACAGGAAAATCAGTTACAATGTTTCCACTCCCCAGAGGCATAAGCAAGAACGGTGCAGAAAATTGTCTTGTGCAAAGTAATACATTCTGGAAATCTCTGTTTTATTGTCTATCCTCTTAGGACTCCTGCCCATCATTTAAAGCAGCAGCCTTCTTAAGCATCTCACACGCTTGGGTTCCAAGGATTTCTGTCTTTCTAGCTGTCAAGGCTATTCGCTGAGGGAAGGATTCCATGAACACTGCAAAGCCCTCTAGTCTGCACCCTTTGCTCCTTGGCCTTTCCCTGGAGCATGCTGGCTGTGCCATGCATTGGCTTCTTCCGTGCCTCTACCCCAGCGACGCTGATCATCAATGTCCCTTCTCTGTATCAGGTTAACCTTCTTCCAGTCCTAAAGCTGCAACAGTAACAAGACACCAGATAGACACTGCCCTCTGGTTGCACAAAATTCCTGAGGCAATTTACTTGTTTGTTTACTTCCATGAGAAACTCAAAAGGCAGAAAAGGTTAGCATCTCTAAAATTAATTAGTTGGGAATAAAAGCTGCAAAGATTATATATAACTTTCTGAGTCAGATGATTTGAAATTTTGGATTCTTAAATGCAAATCTGTTTGTTTTACTATATCATTTTGTGGATTTATTGTATTCACACAATTGATCTGTTTTTAACAAAATTATGTATCTTTCTTAATAGTATTATTTTTTCAATATGCTGTAAAACCCATACCTCATGACTCCCCAGAGATTAATAATGACTACTGGATAATTTCACTTATCTGTTTTAAAGAACTATGTCCCAATTGGTTTTAGTGTGTACAAGGTTATAGGCTTAACCTTACTACCCTCTCTATACTTACGAGGTAGTTGATTATTTTCCCTTTTATTGAAAATAGATTCTTTTCTCAAACAATATATCCTAATTAAAATTTCCCCTCCTCTTCTCCTCTCAGTTCCTTTCCATTCTGCTTTCTAACTAAATCCACTCACTCCCTTTCTGTCTATCAAAAAACATCAGGATTCTAAGAGATAACGACAAATACAAGCAAATAAAATATAAGATGTCACAAATGCATCACATCAATGCTATGCAGTGCAGTCAAAGTGAAGGAAAAGAACCCCAAGAGCAGGTACAATAATCAGAGAACACACTCAGGTGTGCCATTAAAATACTACGGCAAATGCTGTTATATATACACACAGAGAACCTGGTGCAGACCCCTTGTCAGCACTGCGCTTATAGCTTCAGTCTCTGTGAGTTTATATGAACCTTGCTCAAATGGTTTAGTGGGCCTTGTTTTCCTGGTGCCCTCCATCACCTCTCTTACCTCTTTTTGACTTCTTTGTCTCAGAGTTTCCTGAGCTCTGAGGGATTTTGATTGAGACATCTTATTTAGAGCTATGTATTCCAAGGACTGTCTTGCCCCCCTCTCTCTCCCCCTCCCCTCCCTCCCCTCCCTCCCTCCCTTCCTCCCTCCCCTCCCTCCCCCCCCTCTCTGCATGTGTGCACGTGTGTGTGTGATGTCTGGTTGTGGACTCTGCATCTGTCCTCATCTGCTGCAGGAGATCCTCTGATGATGACTGAATAAGGTGCTGAGCTATGAGGATAGCAGAATATCTTTCAGACTCATTTTATCACTACATCTTTTTCCAGACCAATAGTATTTGATCTAGCTCTCTGGGATATCTAGTGTCTGACTCTTGGTTACACAAGCAGTGTTGTGTATGAGTTCATTCCATTTGGTGGAGTAAGCCTTAAATTTGGTTGTTCCCACAAGTTGTGTGCCACCATTGCCCTAACTTATTTTGCAGATAGGACAGCACTGGAGATCAAAAGTTTAGTGACTGGATCCACGTCTAAGTTTCTTTTTTGGTAACTTTCAGAGTACCTCTCTGTACCAAAGACACTAGAATATAGGGGTGAAGGCTCTGTAAAGGAATCAACTAACCTGCTCCATGTTCAGTAAATTGCGTAGACAGTGTCTTCAGCAATGGTGCCTTCCATCTCGGCAATATATTGTATTCTGCAATCAAGACATACAGTGCCTTCAGCAATAGGATTTTACCATCTATTACTGTAAGCAGCCAAGATTAATTATCATAAGCTGTAGAATTTAAAGGCTTCTGGGCCCTTTGAACCTAAAAACTCCTAAGAAGTTTTCATATATCTGGTACTAGAATTTTGCTTGGCAATAAAATTTTGTTTTAATAACTCATGATCTCTAGGGTCAACATCCAACCCTGTAGAATACCTCCATTTGAGTCTGTTTCAAATATCTTTTAAAGTTGATAGAAGTGGATTTTGATATGATGTTTTTATACATTCTTAGTTTTGGTTCTTCATCCCCCTGTACAATACAGTAGATCAATACATCTACTTTCCCATAGCTCACAAATAATTGGCTAATAGTAGAAACTTGCTTTGTTCATTGAAATAGTAATAGAAGACAATGATTACCTTTTCAAACCTTTTTTTATTTTATTGATTTTAAAAGTATTTTTCTATTTGGCTGTCTATGATACATGTTCTTTATTTATGTGGTTTATTTGGAAAATTATTAAAGCTACAGATGGGGAATTCTCTTATCTCTGTATTTAGAATACTCAACTTTAACTGGATAATTTCTAAGTTCTTTTGAAATTAAAAATGTAGACTATTTAATTAAAGCATCACAAAATTCAATTTTCTGAGAAACATTTTTAGATTTATGTTTTACTATTTTTGTTTTTCAATTTAGTATGTTATAACACTATTTGCAGAGTTTGATAACAGAATGTTAAAGAATATGACACCTTTATTGCTTACATTTTTAAAAATGAATAAAAAGCAATGTTTCTCTTTGTTTTCCACACTCTAGTTATATTTCATATATATACACACACACACAC